ATAATATATATATATATATAGATGTGTAATTTATCGACTAAACTGGCCTATCGCGGCGCCGGACCAGCCTGCTCGGAGTGAAACGCGAGGGCTCGCTCGAACAACATCCTCTTATATTTGTATATAGACCGAACCTATCCTTTTCTAGTGCACGCACATGTGTTTCTCTCTCCTTCTCTTGTGGTAAGTCGTCGTTATTTTATAGTCCTTTATCTTTTGTTTTATTTTGTTTCTTTGGCACCGTGAACCTACCCCCCCATTTTCGTCGAGCGGCCATTTCTCTTCGTCGTTTCGTGACTAGCCGGGGATCCGCGATTAAACCTACTATTCTCTTAGATAGCACCTTCGTTATTCGACTTCGTTTCACGAATGCGCGTACACACACAGCAGCAGCAAGTGCGTCGTGAATTTACTTAGCTAAAAAGGACTAAACGTTAGTTCTGACGGAGGTCAGGGTAAGCTGGTCTCGCAAGTGACAAGCCTGGTCGATTTTCGACCTCCATTTTTTCTCTCTCTCTCTTTCTTTCCCCTCGTCGTTCCTCGTCCGCTGAGATCGGACTCGCGAGACTTTCTTTGGTATCAGGCGCCATCTTTGCGACCGAGACGAATCACGCGACGTAATTGTACGTCCCTGGTAGTGGCTACGGAGTTCTGTGCAAAATTTGCCGCGACGTGGAATCCATGCGGGTGAAAGATCGACTTGAACTTGGTACGAAACCGCGGTCGGCCTGGGAACGTCTAGCCTTTCGCACTTGAAATCGTACAATTCTACCGAGAATCTTCACTTTTCTCCGTTACCAACGGAGAAGCATCGATCGAGATAATCTGAACGGTAATTTACAAATAAAACAGACGATTGCAGTTTTGTATGAAGCAATGTTAAAACGTGAGCTGGAAAAGCAATTATTTCTGAATTGTCAAATAACACCGTACACTTTTCATCTATTTAAATGCACAATTCCTATCGTGTAACGCTGCATTTTTATCGAAGCTTGTAGAGAACGAAGAATATCAATTATTCGTCGAGAAAAAAGCGTTTGGTTAAATAGTTGAATAAATAATAGAAACGTTTTACAACTCAGAAATAAGTGAATTTCCCTAAATTCAACGAATAAACAATTATTTTTCTGACTTCAATCGAGTGCAAAGGGCTACCAACGTTCTCCCAGTCTCTCCCGCTCTCGGTTTCAGGTTTGAGCAACGATCACGAAATCACAGCGTTCGCTAAAACGAGGCAAGTTGTGTACAAGAATAAAATATAGAAGAACCTTCTGTTTACGCGTCCTTCACACTAGCTATCATATCCCACGATCCGTAGATAAAGAATCGCGACGTCCGTTTATCAAAATTCACACACGACCGAACGGTTTCTCTCGTCCATCCTAGAAAGTACACGCGTCACCTCTCGAAAAAAGACGAAAGAAGAAGAAATAACCCGAGGAAAAACGAAAAACAGCTAGATCCATCGATCACCGGGACGATGAAAAATCGGCGCAAGCTATGCGGTAACTTTCACGAAAAGTAAACGAGACTTGGCACTGGGACGGCACGATTGCAACAACGATCGCTGTAGATCTCATTACTTATCCTTAATTTAATGTCTATTTTAGAAGACGGAATAACGCGCCGAATAATTCACCGTACGTCCAAGTGATCGATCCTCCCGTCTCTCCCTTCTCTCTCTTTCTCTCTCCACCGGTGAATAAGCAACATCCATCGTTGACGTTCTCTCGTCCATTCGTTGGATTCCATCTCTCTGGCTGCTCGTTCACCGGCGAATAATTAATACGGCATCGTGAATAATTAAAGCGCGACGAGAGCGACCGTTCGGTCGACTCGAACTTCGACCAGGAAACCGGACAAGTTGTGTCTGCGTTGGCGTCGATCATCATCGGCGATCGACGATATTTCAGCGAGTGGTCCGATGGGAGACGAACGAGAGATCCACGAACGACTAACAAGTGGGTAATATCTTCGACGGCCCTCGAGAATTTCGGACACTCCGTTTCATAGGGGATAAACCTCGAAAACATCTCCCCACGTTGGAATCGTGTATGGTTTGGGGGACGTGTAGAACGACGTGGCTGCTCGCTTACGAGACCAGTCCCATGAGAATGAGCCGGCACTCTCGTTCTGCGCTCGCGCATTCCAATTTCTTCTCACTGGACGCGATCATCCTTATCGTAATCGATGTATGTATATATATGCGTACACGTACCACCACAGGACATACATATACATATATACACACGTAGACAGCAGAATGGACAGTGGTTAAAGAAGAGGTTGGAAGGACCGTGCAACAACACGCGGATCTCCCTTCTTTCTCTTTCTAACTGCGTGACGGCTGCAACGGAAGAAAACAACACACGTTTTTATTGCTAGATCGCCTACGTTTAAAAAGGATACACGGGCTTGGTATTCAAAGGCACCGGCAACGCTTCCCGGAAGGATCCTGGTCTGATTCGCGCCTATCCTTCGCTCGATGCCTAACGTCGAACGCATCGCTGCATCCTTTGGACGAGAGAATCTTGATGGCTACTGATGGCTACTCGAGGTTGTGATTCGTGAACGGTTATACACGAAGAATGGTGTCTTTTGAAAGTATGTTTTTTGCTTGGTATTGTTTTTAGGATAATTGTGATTGCTCGTATGTTGGAGTTTTCTTTCTGTTCTTCATTTTGAGATTAATTGGTCACTCTTTACTCGACTGGAGACATAATTCTCGCTATGGTTATTCGATTAAGATTGTTACATTATTCCCTCGTTTCGCCTTATTGTTCGTTTTAAAGATAGAAAGCGCAAAGATGCAGGCACA